CCTCCGTACACACAGTGACATCCACAATGTGAAGGAAGGCCTTCTACTCTGTCTAATCTGGCTAATAAAGTAACGATGCACATGATGTATAAATAATAAACCTAACAATGTTGTCGTTCCATTCCCAAATCTTTGCCACATGCATAATGAAGATGATAACTGAATATAGTTTAGACGGAGCTCGTCTGCCTGGCTGTGTGTTTCCTGGACGGGGGCCGCCTGTGGTTTAGACTTGCCTTTTGTATCTCTGCTTTTTTTTCTATGTCTGCTTCTGTCTGCTACACTTATGAAAGTAAAATCTGTTGGGCTCTTTTTGGCATCAAGACAATTATTCTTATCGCCACATTGCCAGACAGGACACTGTTAAAAAAAAAAAAGAATATATCTGGACAGAGGAACTGTCCTAATTAGATAAACTACCGGGGAAAACATCAGTTCTGAGACGCAACAGGCAGGTAATATTAAAGTGTGATAAAAATCACACATTATCAGTGATAATTATGCTACCACACCTCATCTTGATGTTTGAATAAAACCTTTCAGGTTACAGGCTATGCAGAATAATGTTTGGCTCCTGATTGATCCTAAAAAGGTCTCTCATGTTACTCCAATTATAATGCAGCTTGACTGGTTTTAGTCAAGATGGAAGACTTAGCGAGCTTTGCATGGACAGGCACCAATTTAAAACACTGAAGTTTTACTTTCCTACACCCCCATCAGGGCCATGAAGTTGTCTAATGTACGCACTGCAAACACCATCTGGAAATAAGTAAAAAAATTCTTAAATCAAAGGTATTTACCCTTAATTTAAGCAGATAAATAAGACGATTTGCCAATGGAATGAGTATTTTTACGCCTAAAATGAGATCATTAGTTAATATGCACTTAAAATAAGACAAAGCAATTTCTTATTCTTATTTCAATTGTAAATTGTCTAGTTCCATTGGCAAAGTTTTCCTCTTACCTCCTCATTTTAAGAAAAATGCACTTAATTCAAGCAAAAATTACTCATTTAGATTTCCATTTTTTGCAGTGCGATAACTACTGAGCCTTTTCTCTTAGGGCCCAAAGAATTCCCAACTCTTTTCTTCCAGCTATCAGATCAGCAGACTTAGTGACTTCTTTAAAAGGACGACTAAAACCATATTTTAAATCTGCCTCTGCTGAGTATGTCGATCTCAATACTAGATTAAAAATACTTTTTGGATAAATATAAGATTGTAACACTTGTCTGAATGTTAAATTTGGTTAAATTTGATACTAAAACCAGGGGGAAAAATGGTCCTCACTATGATGATTAAACAGCAGCTCACACAAACAGGTATACATATAGAGGTTTTGTTTGGAAAGCTTTATTTCAGGGGCTTCAAATGTCTGAATTTCTGACTCATCGTTTCCTTGTTTTATTTTGAAAGTCCTGCTGGAAGTGCCTTGTCTCAGCTCTCCCTAACTGACCTCCTGCTGCTGTGGCCCTCACTGTCCAGCAGCCGGGATGAGACTGGGATCTGTGTTTGGAAAAAAAGAGTTGGAATGAACAACACGCCGCCAGGATTCCGGTTGGTGTGTGGACTTACTTTTTCTCTTCTTCTCTGGTTCTGGTTCTGTAAATCCTTGCGACCTCAGAGGTGTTTGCTGTGTGTGTTTATGTGTTCTGATGTTGATGGACTCATCTGCCCACTTCAAGAACATATATGAAACAAACAGGAGGAGGAAACTGCCCCTGTTAATTAGATTCTTTATTGAAATATAAATCTATGTTGTGTGTTTGAAGCTCTATATGTTAAAGACAACAAAGTTCCACCTGACCAGGTGTTTTCCCTCATTGTGTGCCACAGGAGTGTTTTTTTGCTGACTGGGTTCTGTGGGGATTATAATGCAGGCGGCACAGGCCCCCCCACCCCCAACCTATTGTTGCCCCCCCGTCCCTGTTGTCTTTTTTTCACTGAATGGTTCAGTTGATGTTTGGGGAGAGATAAAAGGCTACAGGTTTTCAGAGGAGAGAGAGAGAGAGATGGAGGTGTCCTGACCATGGGGGCCCGGAGCCACCCTGGAATCACACAGGGGACATCAGAGAGCAAGACATGTCATTAAACTACATCAAGAACTTCTATGAAGGATGTGTGAGTAGATGGGATGAATGCAAGCCGACGACCCTCCAGAGAGGATGCTGCTGTCTCCCTGTAGCGGAGTGATGACTGGGTTTCTGTTTGCTTTGCATCATCCTGAGCTGTTTTTTTGATAGTTGGTGGTCATATTAGAGATAAGAGCTGTTTCCTTTGAATGGCTTTTTGTTTCAGCCTGTGTAGCTCAGGGCCTCCATGATTATCTGACAGACAAAAGCAGTTTTCTCCTTCTTTCTAACGGTGTGTGGATGTATGTAGCCGAGGCGTGAGAGCCTCACATGTGAAAGGTACCAAGTTTTAATTGATTCCACAGCCATCTAATTACCTTCATTTAAATATTTTTAACAGATTGTTCATAAGGAAAAAGTGGTTAGTTTTCTAACATTAGGCTGTTCGGCCCTAAACATTGAAAGGGAAGGTAAAACGCCGCCGTGTTTAAGTGTTCTCACGTTCCTTTGGATCAGACACTGAGAAAGAACAGATGTGGCCTTCTTCCTATCCTTATGGCTTAACCTGGAGCAGATGTTGCTTCTAACTGATCTGTGGACATCAGCAGCTATAGAGTCACGCAATCAGTTGAACCAGCTGTGGAAGAGAGCATCGCCTTCCCTATTAAATATCGTGCAAATATCAACTACAGTTGCCTTTATGGTCTGGCTGTTGACTCTAAATCTACCAACAGAGATGGTTGTAAAGAAAGTAGTCCTATTCACTTGCTAACCTCAGTGAAGGACTTTAGAAACTGTTTGGATTTGATACACTAAGCACACATAGAGAATAAACAACTGATGAATATTTGATGGGGTCTATTTTTATATTTTACTAGTGTTCTCTATAGTTTTCAAATGTATATGCCATTCAGAGGCTAACTCTTAAATCAAACCTGATATTAGATATTATATATCATTATCATGGTTTTAGTGTTCCTCTGGTTTCCACCAGTGGCGGCTGGTGAAAAATATTTTTGATGGGGCTGATATGGCCTAGTGTATGTCTCCAACTAATCCAGAATAAGAATTCAAATAAACAATTGGACAATAAGTACAATTTAACAGTAATGATTTAAAGCTACAGTGTGTAATAATTACAGGGATATTCAGTCAGAAATGTAATATATTATACATAACTATGTTATTTATCATCATCTACGAGCTCAGCCTCTTAACCTTAATATTTGCGTTGCCTTAGAATTCGTTATTTATAATTACATAGGAGCGGGTCTCGCAGCCATGGAGGCAGACATCTTTGCGCTACGGCAGCGCAGAGCCAACAAACTAGCGATTGCGAGATTGCCCATTACGCTCGAAAGTAACGGCAAGTTGTTTAAGTCTACATGAAATCTATACCCTACACAGACTAATGAAATACTATCTGTGAAATTATCTATGTAAACAAACCTCATCACTTGAGAAGGTAGGTGATGCGGACGTCGTGGAAGACATTTTGTCCCGTAACGCTCACCGTACTGTTGGGGGGGAGAAGCGGTGGGGGGAGATGTTCATGTTGCTGCGGTCTGCAGTCTGGACGTTAGATGTCGCTGAAAATTACACACTGTAGCTTTAATTTACTATATAATAGTAACAGTGATTATTTTGGACACAATAACCATGACATGAAATTTTCATATCCTACAACAGGTATGTTCTTCTGGCAAATGGGTAGATAAATAGGTAGATCTCACCGAATTTGGTGGAAGCTGCATCTCGCTCGTTACGTTCGCCATTGTCCCTCTAATTGTCTGCACCTGCGCATTGAGTGCAGAAGCCTGTTAAAGGGCAGTATTTTCAGCGCCCCAAGACCATAAAATTCTGAGACGCTGATTGGCCATTAAATTATTAAATTGACCTAGCAATAGTACATGATTGGCAGATTCTCTGCACATGTGGGGCAGTCTGATCAGCGCCCCAAGACAGAGACGATAGGAGTCTGTCTGTGGAAATCCACAAATGAATGACAGTAGGTAGGGAAAGGTAGTTTATATAATTTGTTTTGCTTATAGGTACGCACTCTAGAGAGTAAAACTGACATTTATGAGTTAATTTGTAAAAATATATTTTACGTTTCTCTCTTCTTATCAGGGAGGGCGGTGCCCCAGCGCCCCCTATGGGCCGGCCGCCACTGGTTTCCACTCCATCAATGCATCTATTGTAGCTTCTGAGGATTAACTTTTTCTGCCCGCAAAAGTATAGCTTTCTCTCAGCCAGCTGACTGGCAGTACTCTGCAACTGATGGGGGAGGGGCTAATCGGTCAAACATTTCTCATTCTGACACTTTCTCTGTAATTCCTTTAAAATTAATTTAAACCAGATGTGTCAAATCTTGCTATTGCTTCATAACGGTCCATCAGGTCCATTCAAAATGTCATCGATACTTAATGCCTTTTTGGTCTCGATGACTGATCTGTGTGTATCCGTCTGTGTGTGGGTAAATTCCAGCTCAGGCCTCCTACAGTGATCGGCCAGTTCCACACGTTGTTCTTCGGCTCGGTCCGGATGTTCTTCCTTGGCGTTCTTGGCTTCGCAGTGTACGGAAACGAGGCTCTGCACTTCAGCTGCGATCCGGATCGCCGAGAGCTCAACCTGTTCTGCTACAACCAGTTCAGACCCATAACACCACAGGTGGGACCAAGCTACACTGCGGCTTGGAACCAGAGAAAGTTCTGGTCATCTAAGGAAAATTCTCAAACACACACAGTCAGAATTATAGTAACAGCATTAAACTGCAATGATTTTAAGAAAACAAGAAATTTAAATTAATAGTGAAGCTTTAAACATCCAAACTGGATCAAAATGCAAACTGACATACATTCAGCAAGGCAATAAGCGTAACACCAGTTTGTCCCTTTATATTTCTTCTCTCTACAGGTCTTTTGGGCCTTACAGCTGGTAACGGTGCTGGTTCCTGGAGCTTGGTTCCACCTGTATGCAGCCTGTAAGAGCATAGACCAAGAGGAAATTCTTGAACGGCCCATCTACACTGTCTTCTACATTATCTCTGTTCTTCTACGCATCATTCTAGAGATCATTGCCTTTTGGCTACAGAGCCACATCTTTGGTTTTCAGGTCTGTAATTTTCCATGTGTCTTTACATCTTTTATCATCCATTCAAAAAAAACTCTCCTATAAGATCTGGCATCTTAGGTATCAAATTCGGTCACTTCACCAAAAGACATATAATTTCCAAAAAAGAGGTATTACTGCTCCAACTTAGGGCTTAGAAACAGAATGAACAAGTATGGATTGTTTGGTAGAGTGGATGAAGAAAGTCTCTCTTTGAGATAAGTTTCACAACATGACCTTGTGGAGTAAAAAATGTTGAGGTATGTCTATTCTTAGCCTCACAGGCTCCAAACGAAGGTCATGAGAGATAAGAATGAGTTCACACAGCCTCCTTCATGGCATGAAGGCGGCGACTGTTGTTTTGAGGAGATCTATCTGGCCAGTGAAAGATATATTAACAGTAAACCGCCTTGATGGACTCAAGTTGTTTTTCCTCCAAATGTTCGTCTGTGAAAAAGATCTTTCAGTAGGGGTGGGATAGTTCCAAGGGAGAGTGTGCGTATTGGGAGTTGCTGTATAAAAGTATGTACTGAGCTTTGGCCAGTGGGAGCCCTATCTGTCCGTCCGAGGACAAACTTGAACCTTATTTCTTGCAAGAAATGCCTCTGCCTCTTTCTAACTTCAGAACCTAGATTTTGAATGAACCACAAGTGCTACGGACCGATGCAACCAAAAACCTCATCCCAACTATCTCATACTTTTCTATGTTTTCCTTTAGGTTCACCCAGTTTACGTCTGTGATGCCAGCTCCTTGGAAAAGGCCTTCAACGTGACTAAGTGCATGGTACCAGAACACTTTGAAAAAACCATCTTCCTCAGTGCAATGTACACCTTCACTGTGATCACCATCCTTCTCTGCATCGCTGAGATATTTGAGATACTGTGCCGACGGATTGGTTTTCTCAACAATTAGTGACAAAACTGCCCATGCACAAATACAGTGAGTGAAAGTATCTATATACTTTCCTGTCAAGAACTTTGCTATGGGGACTTTCATGAAGCAGAAAGTCAATGTTAGAGCGAGGGGTCACAGGTGGTGCAACGTCATTGTGCAGCGCCAAGAGCTCTAACAAGCTGTAAAAATGTCACAGCTGGCCAGAAACAACTGTACTTTTGGTGTTTTGTTAAGTATAGAGTGATCATTCATTATTGTATTTTAGAACAGAGAGGATTCTTTAGCGACTGGGTTAAAATCTGTTACATGAGTGGACCAGATGGTCAGAGCATACCAGTTTCATAGATCTATTAGGTCATTGACAATTCTCAAACCTGATTGTTTCAATACCTGAGAATCTATAATAATAAGAGTTCCTCTGAAATATAAAGAAATATTATAGGGATGAACTTAACATCTATTACCTTTTAATGCGATAAAAGCTTAGAAAACTTAGGCCTTTTCCTTCCTCCTATTTATTCCCTTTATATAAGGTCAGCAGTAAGAGCACTATCCAGGGTGCGATACTATGATCTAACAGGACACGTTCAGATAGAAGTCTATTATCTAAGACCATGAGAATATCATTAGTGACTTTTACCAGAGCTGTTTCAGTGCTATGATGAACCTTCAAACCTCACCAAAAAAAAAAATTGTAAAAGTGCTGACACACTTTAGAAACAATTTTCTCAGGCATTTTAGAGAAGAAAGGAAGATTAGATATAGGTCTATAATTGCCCAAGTCGTTTGGATGGAGAGAAAGTTTCTTAGGTAAATGTTTAAGTACAGCTACCTTTAAAGCCTGTGGTACATCTCCCTGGAACAGAGATAAGTTACTCAATAGAGGGGGGGTAATAAGAAAGCTCAACTTGAAAAAAGCAGTTCAAACACAGTTCAGGATTTATGGTTATCTCAGACACTAGCAGCAGCTAGGGATGCCAGAAGGCCCAAGTGCCAACTGTATTGATGGTAAATGGCCTGTACTTGTATAGTGCTTTTCGAAGTCAGGCGACTTGATCATAATGCTTTAGTCTACATTCAGTCATTCACCCATTCACTCACACACTGATGGTGTCAAGTTACACTGTAACCACAGCTGCCCTTGGGCTCACTGACGGAAGCAAAGCTGCTGTACACCGAAAGCCAGAGCACGAAGCGACAACCCTCCGATTGCAAGGCAAAATCCTGCACCCGACACCACTGTCGCCCTGATGCTAGGATGCCTGTCACTACCCGATCCATACAGGGAGCACAGTCAGTACCATCAGCTCATTTGCGCATGTGCAAGCAGATATTCATTCAGGTTAAGGTAAATATGATTAAACCATGTTTATCTGCATTTTAGTTGTTTGTTTCTGTAGATTATGCATTATATACTATAAGGTTTACACGAGCTGCACAAATAAATCTTGAATAGACTAGAATTAAGTATGGAATACCAAGACGAAAAAACTAGCTGCCAGAAGTAGCACAGGATCCTATTTCTGGGATGGATCAGGCACAGACGAGTGATAAAACAGCACAGTTTTAAATGCATTTAATTTCTCAAAAAACAAATGATTAATCTTTAATACAGTGTAGTTTAGTAAGCTTTTTATTTTCGGGGAGGAAAAAAAATAGTTTTGGCCTCTTTTATAAAGTAAAAGCAAATGTGACCCGAATGTATATCAGGTTGCACAAGCTCCAATCAGCTGATGGTATTAAGTGTTTAAGTTAAGTTTAAGTGTCCTCACCATTATGAGGTATTTGAATTGTACATAAAGCTTGATTTATGATGTTTGCAAAGTCAGTCTGGAAGACTTACATCAATTTAGCTTCCATGCCCCTCTGCACAGTACACCATGCACCTAGGAAGATTTGTAACAGCTGTGCTTCCTGGTATAGTGTGGTGTCATAATCTTGAGGTTTGTACTGTACACGGCCTCTGGAGTCGAACAGAATATTAAGTAGAGGGGGAAAAGCCAGAGTATAAAACCTGCAGACATTCTGTGCAGAATGTACGTGAGTCAGACATAACTTAGCCTTTAGGTGTACACATGCATTGTACGACCCTCCAATCAACAGATACATCATAATTTAACGCATCTTTTTTCAAATATTCTTACAAATCTTTTCCAAAGGCAAATAAATGGACACATAGACACTGTTATCAATGCCACATGTATGCTAGTTATTGTTTGATTGAGCCGTAAGAAAAGGTTAGTCGTTCTAAAATTAATTTCTGGACCAATCCAGTGCATAAGGAATGCCAGCAGCCATTTTGTCTGCACAAAATGCAAAGAGATCAAAATGTCCTCACAAAAGACAATGTCATGATTTTATCAAGAGCTCGAACCCACATGCAGATAAGCCAGTCCAGAGAGACGAGGGAAAAAGTTAAACTGGTTTATTGAGAAGTTTTGTAGAGGTTCCAGTGTTGCTCTGAACACTGCTCAACCGGAACTGAAAGGTGAGGGGAAGACACTGCGGTTAGTTCAGGTTCAGCGGGAGAATTGATTCTCGAACTTGAAGAGGAGAAAAGGTTGGCAGACTCACGTTTCCAGAGATTAGGTTGACTCTTAGACTCCAGCAGGTGAGGAATGTGTTCCAGTGTTTGTCTCATACGGAGGAGGGCGGACAGGGTTACCCAGAATGCAGTTGTTTGTAGATGAATGAAGAAAGACTGCCACTCAGATTTCCTGCGGTACGTGAACGGACTGTTGTGCAGATGAATCCCTTTCTCAGTGTGAAGCTCAAACGTTTCCTCAGCTCAGTTTGAAGCTCAGTTGATCCTTCCAGGGAGAGAAGGTCCGAAAAATCCAGTTTGCAGGATGACTTCCTGCCGAGAGGCAAAGACAAAAATCAATGGTAACACTCAGGTTGACAAAAACTCAGTTTGACTTACCAAAAGTCAGCATGGCTAGAGTACCCAAAACTGGCAAACACTCTTGCCTCGAGGTAGTGGCAGTCAGCAGCTTAAGAACACTCCGTTAACGAGGTAACCCCTTGCAGGTGTGTGAGGAGGAGAATCAGAACCAGGCGCCGCCTGGTGGAGGAAGAAAGACAAACACACAAAAACACAGACCACACAGACTGGAGTCCTAACAGACAACATCACTTAGAATATTTTCACAAATCCAATCTTAGTAATACCTTAGTATAATAAAAAATCTAGCTGTGTTGATTTTTAAGCTACATAAATATTAATGACAATATTTTTAAAAATCCATAATTGCTAATTGAAAATGTCTTAGTAAATCCCTACTTAACCAAAAAAATCCTGCTACAATGAATATTTATTAACAGTGTTTAATGCGTTTAAACTAAAATCAGATTAGGAATCTGAGTTTTAAAGCATTTCGTGCTCTGATAAACATTAATGCTTGTTTGGAGTAGATTCCCTACAGTTTTATTCCATGTGTGAATCAGGATTTTTGCTCTCTAATCATTGAATTTAATATGGGGTCCCTAATAATCAACCAAGTTGATTTAACTTTTTTCATTGAATGATTTATTTTAAATTTACTTTTGTTTAAAAAGTGATAACCTCTCCTGTTCCGTTCTGTTGTTTTTCACTCAGACATCCATCCAGCTTTTGTTGTGAAATCTGTTTATCATCTCAGGTACAAGATTGTATAGCAAGACAAAAGCGGATCATGTCCTCTTATCAGAGCTTTTCAAACCGTTAAAGTCATCATTACGGTAATGATATATATTCAGTTGATTTAAAGCTACTGTGTCGTAGATCTAAGCCTAATGGACCTCCTGTTAGACTTAATTATGTTTCTACTGTGAGTTTGTTTGCCTGTATCCTTTTTCCATTTTCAGTCAGCATTACAAAAATTCATTTCAACAATTTCAGCCTGTTATATCACGCCAGCTTCACATTCAGCAAACAATATTAGAATATTAAATATTAAAGGTCAGACTTTAAACATTGTAACTGAAAGGCTGTTAGTACTGATTTTCCAGTTCACGTGCTGCAAAGGAGGTTCTGAAAAAACTAAAAGGCAAGACTTTGATATGTAGCAAATGGTTGCTGGAACAGATTTATTAAAACTTAAAATAATAAATGAATAAATCCCAGATATTTTAAAAAAGCCTGGCTCTTATCCAATCAGAACTCCCTACATCATTTTGGGGAATCCTAAATGGTTCTCAGGTTAGAATGGAGGTAAACTTCTTTGCATTCTAGTTAATCTATTTTTAGTGAGGTATGCCTACGAAACCTCCAGAGGAGCTGCCCAGGTGAAAGCTAACTCAGATTCTGAAACACCACAGTTGGGGGGCAGCAGTTTCTACTGCAAACTCTCCTTAGATGATGGAGTTCCTCCCTCTAAGATTTCATGACCTAGGCTAGGGTAAGAGTGTTCATCACTCCACTAGGTATTTAGTCATATACGTTCTTGTATTTGTTGCTTATCTTTTGCCTTATAAAGCAAAAAAAAGTTTACCCATCAAGAATGACAGAAAATCCTCTGATTCTCTCTCAACTAAGCTAACCAGAGAAACAAGAAGCATTTGGTCTTTTTGGTTTGTTTGGTCTTTCTTCATCATGACAGACAGGCTCAAGCTCCAACTGTGTGGAGCCAGTGGGTTCCTCGCATCCTATCTGCAGTCCTCGATACAACACCTCTCCATGCGGTAATTACACAAACAAATGTAATGAGACAGAGACTGGATCCAAATAAACCAAGAGTTAGTGACGTTTTGATTGGTTTATTGAAAGGGTTAATCTGAAAGCGGGGCTGAATCTGTGTGGGCAAACAGGCTGCAGGTAGACAGGCAGCAGGTTGAGGGAGGTTTACCAGTTAGATCCAGGATGGAGAGGCAGGCAGTTTGGCGGAGCTTTTCCGAGTCAGAGGTCCAGAAAGAGGGGAGCAGGCAGGCCGATCAGAACGACACAGAGAACCGGGGATCCAGAGGCAGAGCAGAGAGGGTAATCAGGCAGGCAGAATCAAACAGGGGTCAGGCAGACTCGGGATCAGGAGGCAGATCGGGTCAGAAACAGATAGGCGGTCAGACACTCTTTTAGATGCTGGACTATTCGCAGCGGGTTGGCTCGAGATAATCTGGCACAGAGGACTGATCTGATGGGGTTTTTAAAGTGCTGGAAACAGGTGACTCCGGTCAGAGCTGATTGCAGACGGGTGGAGCAGAGCAGGTGTACGGACAGTGATCAGGCCAGAATCAGTGCAGAAACCATTACAACAAAAATGGCAGCAGCCAAAACATTTAGGAACTTATGTGCCTGGATAGCGTCCTCCGCCCAAATTTCAACAAAAGCCTCGGCCTCTGCATCATCCCAGGTCGCACTGCGGTCTTTTGATGCCATTTATTGATAAGCGGAGAAGTTCTTGTTGTGAACAGGTGAAGAGATCCGTGAATAGGGGGTTTTCAGTGACGTCACTGGTCCGCCATCTTGGGTGGCATATTATCGTATATCATATATATCATGTCGCGAATGGATAAGTACGCCANACAAAAACACAGACCACACAGACTGGAGTCCTAACAGACAACATCACTTAGAATATTTTCACAAATCCAATCTTAGTAATACCTTAGTATAATAAAAAATCTAGCTGTGTTGATTTTTAAGCTACATAAATATTAATGACAATATTTTTAAAAATCCATAATTGCTAATTGAAAATGTCTTAGTAAATCCCTACTTAACCAAAAAAATCCTGCTACAATGAATATTTATTAACAGTGTTTAATGCGTTTAAACTAAAATCAGATTAGGAATCTGAGTTTTAAAGCATTTCGTGCTCTGATAAACATTAATGCTTGTTTGGAGTAGATTCCCTACAGTTTTATTCCATGTGTGAATCAGGATTTTTGCTCTCTAATCATTGAATTTAATATGGGGTCCCTAATAATCAACCAAGTTGATTTAACTTTTTTCATTGAATGATTTATTTTAAATTTACTTTTGTTTAAAAAGTGATAACCTCTCCTGTTCCGTTCTGTTGTTTTTCACTCAGACATCCATCCAGCTTTTGTTGTGAAATCTGTTTATCATCTCAGGTACAAGATTGTATAGCAAGACAAAAGCGGATCATGTCCTCTTATCAGAGCTTTTCAAACCGTTAAAGTCATCATTACGGTAATGATATATATTCAGTTGATTTAAAGCTACTGTGTCGTAGATCTAAGCCTAATGGACCTCCTGTTAGACGTAATTATGTCTCTACTGTGAGTTTGT